AAATTGAGCATTTTAAGCAACAGTAGAGCTACACACCGGCCTAACATTATTGTTGTTTTACCATGTGTTTGAGAAATAACAATAAAAATAGGCTAATCATATTAACCTTTATTTTACATTTACAAAATCTTGAGAAAGAATCGTGATTTTGATTTTAAACAAAAAAACAAACAAATCATGATTCACATTTTTGACAGAATCGTGCAGCCCTAATGTTATCTGAAATTGGCTTAAATATTGAACATGTCTGACAGATTAAGAACAAATATATGATAAAGAATAACAATATTATAATTGTAGCCATCATGTGCTACACTGTTCACAGCACAATCTGGCGATTCCAACTTCCTAATATCTGAAGACTAGATTTGGCTTTCTTTTACTAGCGCCAGCACAAACTGCAAATGGTGGAAAAATCTGGGCAAAAGCAGCATTAACTTCAATGTACTGCACATCACCCAAACTTCAACTGCAGATATTCAAAATATGTGCCTTTCTAAACACATTTCTAGCTCATAATGAATGATATCCTTTTAGCTCTCTTCTTAGCCAGCATTTATTATCAAAACAGCTTACAACAACCTCTGAAGATCCCACTCTGCATATCATACCTGCAAGGCTTTACTGTGGACAATGGTGCCAATGGTCCCAGCACAAAGCCTTGGGGCGAGACCCTTAAACAGACCTGCTTTTCCATCAATCTTGATAATGTGTTTGGCTGAAAAACACAAAATCAAGTGTGAGAACGAAATACGTTTCTCAGAGTTCTTCAAATCAACTGGACATCATATCAACAGATGGCTATATTAACCAAAAGTAAAGCAGCCAGTCACTTGATAATTACCATATGCAAAAAGCCCTGGAAGTTGGTAGACTTGTCGGCCAAACATATTCCGTCCTAGGGTGGGAGCGAGAGGTTCATGTCCGACCTATTTACAAAGATACAATCATATTATTGCACTTTATTGCATATTATTGAGGTAGGTGTGCAAGTAATAAATTGATTTACAACATATTTTATTATCCCTACAAGTAAACTAATGCAGCCACACAACTCCCTTTTGCAATAAAAAAAAAAAAGCTGAACCTCTGGTTCCTCTGAGTGTGAACTCGCAAACAAACACCTGTGATCGGTTCATGAGATCGACTAGATTGGCAAGTACTGATTGAGCCATAAAATGTGATTATTGGTTGATGACAATCGATTGGAGCATCCCAACTATAAATGAGCAAGTCCAGCGTTATGGATGTGACATTTGCAGTTAAAACTCAAAACATAAATTCACATAGAAAGTATACCTTAACATTGTTGAAACTTATGTTTATATTTTTCAAAAAAACTAACCACAGAGTTATGGAATCAGAAAAATATAAACATGTGATTGTTTTTATATTTTAAATGAGGAAAATAAACATGCATTATGAATGTGGCAAAAAAGTCTGTGAGTTTCAGTACACAACATACTTTGTAGAAATTCTGTGAATTAAACTGCACAACCCAAAATAAATACTGCTAATCAAAAGAATAAGAATTGTCTCTCTATAGAACAAAATTTGTTCATTTTATTTGATTTGACATTTTTGCATTTATCTTCGTTATGGATGTGACAGGCGTGAAATTGCCACTTGTGTGACTTTGGTAAATCAAATATAACAGTTTAAAAACATTGACAAGAGACACTTTTGAGTATTTTTAAAGTAAGTTACTGTAAAACACTTGATTACACAAAAAATGTAGAAATGGTTTCTCTATTTTGGTAAAATTAAATTTTATGGCAAGGTTGACATTTGCATGGAATTGCTCATACACAAACACACACACACACACACACGATTTAACACTTAAAAAAGCGCATATATGTTTAGAAGAATCTACATTTACTTTATTTTACAAATGAATCCGTGATCCGTTTACCTAGTATACTACTGTCACATTTGTCATCACATAAAAGAAATGAAATAAAGAATTTAGATGCATAACCTCTAAGTGCCGTCCGCAATTTCCAAATAAAATGAACATTTTTCTCAGCCTCCTTTGTTTATGGTGAGACATTTCACTTTAAAGACCATGAAAATAACTTATTCCTTGGCATAAATTTAATATTACTGAACATACACACAGGAGCCTGATAAAAATGCTCATTTTAGAGGAAAATTTCAGACGGCATTTAGAGGCTTTTGCATCTAAACTCTTCAAAGATCAAGCATAATGGCTCACTTTATCAAAACAATATCTGCTGTAATCTGATCAATAACCCGGAAGACAAACGAGTTTCACCACAAAACTAAATGGTACAAGACACTGAGGTGAATATGCTTCTAGTATTGTTTTCAGGGGACACATGACACATTAGAATAGTACTAGTTGTGTGTATATTTGTTAAAATGCTATAATAATGATTCCTGACAGACGTTACGGGTTGACCTTTCAGAGCATTAACTCATACACTAGATGGGCAGCGGTCAATAACCCTGGTAAACAGCCAACTAACCATACAATGATTACTGAAACCTTTATCCGTGTAAACACATCTACTCCCCACAAACATACCAGTGTAGCAGGAGTGATGTTAGACATGTTACAGTTCATAAACCAGCTGGCTAACGTTATCAACATGCTATCGACACTGCCCGACAGCAGCGCATGTGCAGCCCCGGACATGCAAATGCTGTTATTTTGTGCGGATTGTGTAAATCCTACCTGAACTAAAACCTTGATGTACATAAGCGGGTGGGAAAGGACTGTTAATCCAGACCCAAGGAGGACTTGGCCACATGTGTCCGCCATTACCAAGACGATCCGAAACGTCCCCCTCCTTGACAGAGAACTGCCGATGGTAATACGCGAAAAACCGTGTTGCCAGATCCAGCATGAAACCTACATTTAGTCCTACAAACTAAACCTAAAATATTAGTCCTCACGAACAATAGACTGCACCTAGCTTGCTTTAAACGGATTGATTATAACTGGAATATTTCATTTTTGTATGTATATATTTTAATAAAACATATTTTGCATACAGACACGAATTACCTTTACCTATGAATTAAATTTTCACTCATGTAGGTAAACACACACACACAAACACACATAGAGACTTTTTTAAATATTCCATATTCCATCAGTCATTAATTTTCCTTTGGCTCAGTCCCTTTATTCATCAGGGGTCGCCACAGCAGAATGAACCACCAACTAATCCAGCATATGTTTTATGCTTATGTAGAGCACCCGGAGGGAAACTTACGCCAACACGGGGAGAACATGCAAACTCCATACAACCGAGGCTTGAATCACAGCGACCTTCTTGGTGTGAGATAATTATGCTACCCACTGCGCCTCCGTGTCACCGCAAAAAAAAAAAAAAAAAAAAAAAAAAAATTAAATAATAATATAAAAAAAATAACAATAAAAATAACGCCGGCAAGGCAGTGGCGCAGTAGTGCTGTCGCCTCACAGCAAGAAGGTCGCTGGTTCAAACCTCGGCTCAGTTGGCGTTTCTGTGTGGAGTTTGCATGTGCTGCCTGCCTTTGCATGGGTTTCCTCCGGGTGCTCCGGTTTCCCCCACAGTCCAAAGACATGCGGTACAGGTGAATTGGGCAGGCTAAATTGTCCGTAGTGTATGAGTATGTGTGTGAATGTGTGTGTGGCTGTTTCCCAGAGATGGGTTGCGGCCGGAAGGGCATCCGCTGAGTAAAAACTTGCTGGATAAGTTGACGGTTCATTCATTAATAAAGGGAATAAGCCGACAAAAAAATGAATGAATGAATGAATAATAACGTCGTAAAATAATATAAAATAAGTGCCTCTACCTAAAGCAAGAACAGTGTTGCTCAAAAGTAGCGGACTTGGCAACATATGCCAACCACGTGATGAGGTTACTCGTCTACATCAAGGTCTACATCTATCACAGGAACGTCTCTTCATCCTCCGGCAGGTGCCGCACTTTTACATCTTTTTAACAGTTGTGGAATAGATTTTCAGCTGGGTTAAATGTATAGACAGGTTGGAATGCTGCCATTCTGCAAAAAAGTACTGCTCAATTTTTTACTCAGTAGATGAAAATATTTTATAAACAGAATAGGCAATAACCTAGCCTAAATATGCATTTAAAAGTTCTGTAGTACAGTTCTACATAGTACAGTTTTGCTTATCACGCTAATATTTTAGGGTGATTTAACCATGACAAAGCATGTTTTTATTTGTAAATTACATTTCATATCTGGATTAATATTTCTTTTACTATTTTTCATCATTCAAATGTTAATATTAAATCCCGGCATTTCTTTAAGTGATATAATTTTTTTAAATGCCAACTGAACCTCAGTTTAAAGGGAAATTTTACTCATAAATATACATTTCCTCATCATTTCCATTGAACTCTCCCTAATGCTTTTGTGATTTGCAGGTTTGTGACCCTGATAGAGCCGCATACATTTGACTAGTCTAGTGTATGTCCTTTTCTTGTTTGGGAATGAATGGGTTAATGCTTATGAGGCTGCTGTTTCAGACAGAACAGAGCATATCTGTACATCTCTGAATCATTAAGTGGTTTCATAAATCGTCTCAGATTGTCTGTAAATTTAAATTTGACAGCAGTGGAATGAAATTTTAATGGGGAGCAGAGCACTTAAAAGACAGAGCAGGAAAATGGGCTCAGTCAGAACTTTTACACCAGTGCAGGTGAGTGTCTTTCCTTTTGATGCCTTTTATTTAACAGGGATGAGATCTAAAGACATGTTTTTAATTGGGTGAATCAGAGAATATATCAGCTTTCATTTCTAAATGCTGGAGAATCTTAATAATAATAACTATTTTAAATAATCTTATAAATACAATTTACAATAATGTTCCAAGTTATGCAATCTCTATAATAATCTTGTTTCTCATTTTTCATGTTGATGCTTTAAATAAGAGTAAAAAAATCTATAGAGAGTCAGTCTTTAATGGAGTCCTTCTGCATATCTGTGTTTGATCTAGAAATCATCGGTGAACCCTCATCATGATGTTCGTGTTGGTCATCTGTTTTCTGCTGAGCTCATTTGAAGCTCAGAGTCGCACTATTGAGGTATGAGGAGATATTTTAATGATATTATGAATATATCAGTAGCAGCCTCTATATTAAACACTTTTTATTTTCAGTCAGTGGTTTCTAATAAGCATGTTTATGTGTATGCAGGATATTCTTGTGAAGAGCGCAGAGGAGACTGGTAAGAAACTCAGCCATATGACTAAGATTCAGTGTTCAGTATAAGTCAGGTAACTTTTATTTTTACTAATGCTTCAATAAACTGTCACGGTTTCTTAGATAACAGCATTGAGCAAGATATTATTTCAGCGTCGGCCTTAATGGAAAGGCCGAGCAACTTTGCAGGTATATCTTTTCATGTCAGCAGAAATAAGTAACATTAGCAAGCATTAACCAGAATTATAAGATCATTGAGTTCCTTCTGGAGTTTCTCTGCATGCTTTCCACCCAACAGGAGAGGAACTGGACGAGCCCTCCATCATGTTCGGAGACATTGCTGTAGGCACACCATTAGATATCACAGCTCCATGCACAGGTCAGAGCTGCAAATGGCCGTTAAGCAGCAATGGAAAAGTCTTTGTGCCCTACATCATCTCTGATGAATACTGTGAGTGGCAGCTCTTACTTCACTCAACACCCTGTAATACATCCTAACTGTTTAGACAGTATTAATATCTGAACTTTTTAACAGCCACCCAGGAGAAGGATGTCATTTTTCAGGGCTTCAGATCTTTGGAGAAGTCGACCTGTGTTCGCTTCAGACCTCGCACAACACAGAGGGACTACATCAATATAGAGCCTAATTCAGGGTAAAAACTGACTTTGCTTTTGTGACACCATTGCTGTTGCTCTTTTTATGTTCACTTTAATTATAAATCAGCGTTTTACTGTAATTCATTACAGTTTTAAATTATGTTTCAAAACTTTTTATTGTTCAGCAAACTGCAAAAGTTCCTTTAAATTAAACTATTGCAAGGTTCTGGTTAAATGTTGAATGCTGAAATGAAATGGTGAATGCTGCAGTCTATGAAAAATATTTAGTATTATAAATGAAATAATTTTAAAAGCTTTTTACTTTGCAAATCTGCATTTTTAAACAAATCTTTTGAACAAATGACTCACTAACACACTCTCTTTCCTTCAGCTTATTCCCTTCTCTATCAGGGGTTGCCAAATTGAACAAATCAATCAATGCAAATACCTTTTCACTTGTCACCACCTACTGGCATAACAATAAAGACAATAAAGACATCATGTTACCAAAAAACTGTTTACTATATTTTGATTACATCATTATAAAAAAAGCAGTTAATTAAACATTTTCACATATTTTGTGCTTCATGGTTGTTGTCTGTTTATTTGTGCTTTTGAGTTGCAATTTGGGACCTTGATCTTTTCCCTGATAACTATTTATGTTAAAAATGCAACTTCCTGCAGTTCAACAAAGTAACGTTAATTGACATTTTTAGCACTTTGTAATAATATATTATATGATAGTAAATAAAGCAGATTATCTAAGTACAGATGAACCTTTTGAAAACTGTATGTGATGTTTGTCCTGTGTGATGCACAGGTGTTACTCTTTTGTGGGTCGTCGCACTGGAGGTCAGACTGTGTCTCTGGACCATGATGGATGCATTAAACTGAACATAGTGCAGCATGAGCTGCTTCACACACTGGGCTTTCATCATGAACACAATCGCAGTGACCGCGACAGTCACGTCCAGATTGTTTATAAAAACATCATTCCTGGTATGTTTCTTTGCCATTTCTTTTGAACACTTCACACACACTTCTCATTGAGCAAAGGGTTTAAATGTAAGTTTTCACAACAATGCATAGAAAAAACAGATTTGGTTCCTCAAAGAGCTTTTCAGAGAAGTGTTTTAAAGAACATTTTTTGAAAGTGTAAAGAATATATATATGCTTTCTTGTCCTCATTTGTAAGTCGTTTTGGATAAAAGCATCTGCTAAATGACTAAATGTTAATATATGTAATTTTTTTAACAACCTTTTGTGTAAAAGTAATATTTCATAGATTTATAAGATTCATGTCTTTCTGTTAAAAGCAGCATTCAGTTTTAAATTTTAAAGCAGATTTAAAGCAGATTTAGCATTTCTACATCACTAAATATTAGGAATGCCCTGATTTTAACCCAAAAAAATTTCAGCCAATTCTAAAACTGATACTGATTGGTCAACTGGTCAGTTGCATACAGTACTAGCTAGATTTATTCTCCACTTTTACTGAACATGGATTAAATCCATTTACATTCAAATTTTCAATATTTAAAAAGGGTTTAATTCAGATGAGATTTTTGCTATTCAATAATTTGTTTAACAACAGTAACTTTTATTTGACATTTATTTCATAAACTTAACTAATAAAACCAGTGCTGCTGCAATTTGTATGTTAAAAATGTTCCTGGTCCAGAAAAGATATTGACTCACTAAAGTGCCGTTGGCTTCTTTATTGCTCAAGATTGTTTAAGCCCAAATAATATGGCTTTGTGCTAGCACGTGATCATGGTAGACACCAGTTGCTTACCCGATGCACATGACATTTTGTACATACTAGACTCTGATATTTTGTGTGACTATGAATGATTTACTTTTAGATAGATGTTGGATTATTAAAAAGATATGCAGCTTATTTTCTCAATGTAATTAATAAACCATATTAATAAAATTAGTTCAATATTGGATTATCCAAAAATTTCTATGCACTGTAATTATAGGTCAGGAGCGCAACTTTGACAAAATCAAGACTAACAACCTGGAGACTGCGTATGACTACAGCTCTGTGATGCACTATGGAAGGCAAGTTTTCTCTGAATAACAAGGAAAATGTTGTAAAGACTAAACAGTTGTGCCTCTGGGTGTTTCTGATATTGAGTTTTGTGTTTGTGTGGTTTCAGGTTTGCTTTCTCTAAGAACAAAGAGGCAACCATCGTCCCTATTCCTGACAGTGGCGTGACTATTGGCCGGGCTAAGAGAATGAGTTCAAATGATATTCTGCGTATTAACAGACTCTACTGCAGCAGTAAATAACACTTTAAAAGCTTCGTCAACACAGAGGGAAAATGCTATCTTCTATGAATAATAATAAGCAAACGCATTTATCTTTTTTACTGTATACATGCTTCTTTTACAGGCGAGATAAAAATAAGTCTCTGTGAAAATACATTTAGGAAAAAAATTACACTTTCATATAAAAAAATGGCATTTTCACATTCATGAAGATGACTTAAGAGGAACTTAACTCTGTTGAAAGTGCATTATATCAAACCTCTGGTGCGTCAAAATGCTCAAATGTTTAAGTAGTTTTATTCAGGTTTTCTAAAGAGATTTGATTGCTTCTTAAGATGAAAACACTGATCATTTAACAATGTTTACAGCCTCTTCATTTTTTTCACAAGCTCAAGCTTATTCTAGTCATGTTTGATTTATTTTTGCAAGCCAAGCAAGAGTTTTACAAGGTCTCTTAGGGATCAAAATTAAATGTGTCCATCATATATAAAATTATCATATCTATTCAGAAGATTATTTTTGTATCTCTATTGAAGATTTGAGCGAAGGGACTGAAATCTCCCAGATTTAATCAAAAATCTCTTAGTTTAAATAAAAAAAATTATGCATTTGGAAGTGGGTAATGGTGAGTAATTGTTGGCAAAATTTAGTATTGAACTGAGCCTTAAATATTCGTTATAATGAAATGGTTTATTGCTTATGCATGTTAGTCCACATTGCATTGATTAGTTAACAAATCTAACTTCTGCTTTGAAAAACATGCAATAAATGCTGTAGAACTGTTGTACTTGCTTAGTTAATTCATCTTTTTTCAATTATTAAGTCATTTCAATTATCAAGTGGGTTGTTGGTTTAGCATGTCGATGTGATGGCATGTTATGAAACATACAAATAAATAAATGAAATTCTTACTCTTCCTCTGTTATATAGTGTGTGCTATTATCACCCAACATTGCAACTGTATTGTACCCCACAACCAGGGATCTCTTAAACCGAAGCGTTTTGCAAGGTCCTCTTGTTTTGAAATGAAGTATGAAATGGTCTGTTAAATTGTGAAATGTGATTGTGTGATGCAAATTGTTCAGAACAGTCTCTAGAATTTACATTTTCAGGTTCATACTGGTGAATATAACAGTCAAACTTTGAATCAACAAGTTCATACAGATACTAGGTTTGTTGTAGTATAGGGGAAAACTGACACAAACCCCAAAAAGAGTTTATATACATGCCATGCAAACTGAACATGTTGCAGCATTTTTTACTGCCAACCTTCTGGTGAAAGAGTCTGTGGTTAAGATATAGAAGATAGCCCAAGATTCCTAAAACTATAGTTTGGTGATTTATTTAAGTGCCTGAGCATGCTACAGCTTAGTGGTTGTTTCAATGTTGATTACACTAGCACATGAATGTGTGCTTAAGTTACTGTTAGCAGCTGAATTGCAAAACCCTTTACTTCATTTTTAAATGTTAATTGGTTGATGCATTGACGTGTTTTGGGATGATTTAACACATTTAAGTTTAAAAAGGAAAATGTAAGTGACGCAGTGGCGCAGTGGGTATAGTGCTTGAGCCTCGGCTGGGTCAGTTGGTGTTTCTGTGTGAAGTTTGCATGTTCTCCCTGCGTTTGCGTGGGTTTCTTAAGGGTGCTCCGGTTTCCCCCACAATCCAAAGACATGCGGTACAGGTGAATTGGGTAGGCTGATTTGTCAGTAGTGTGTGAGTGTGAATGTGTGTGGATGTTTCCCAAGGATGGGTTGCAGCTTTAAGGACATCTGCTGTGTAAAACATGTGCTGGATACGTTGGCGGTTCATTCCGTTGTAGCAACCCCGGATTAATACAGGGACTAAGCCAAAAAGAAAATGAATGAATGAGGGAAATGTATGTATACTATGAGCCTTTTTCATCTGGGGCAGTTGTTATGGTTGGTTAAAATGGTTTGCTGCCTTAACAGTGTTTAACATGTGAAGCACAAAGACTGATTATTGCAGTGAAATATTTATGCTGTGAATGCTCTAAGGGTTTAAATGAGTTTCATCAGATTTGATTATGTGAATTAGTATGAAGTTTGTTTTTTTTTATTAGAAAATAGGGAAGTATATTCATTTTTTATCAGAAATGCTAAATATGCCATTCTGGGTTGTTAGTTTACAGTAGTGAAAAATGCATCAACTACCTGTTTGAGAGTTAGTTTAGTAGCATGCAAATGGAATATATTTAAAAAGAGAGAGAAAAAAAAGGAATAAAATAAGTAATAGTTTTTTTCTGTTGGTTTATGTGCTAATGCCAACCCCTGATCTAGAACCATGTTCTTGCAAGAAATCTTTTGAAATATTTACACAACATTTGGTTAACAGAAAACCAAAGACATAAAGGCTTCCTCTTTATAAATCATGGGTCGTAGTTTTAGCTTAAAAAATAAGGATATGCTGAATTATGGCTGATTGATGGTTGACTCAAGTACAAAAAAATAAATGAATATGGATATTCACTTAAAATAAGATCAGGTAAATATTTAATTCAATTCACCTTTATTTGTATAGCACTTTTACAATGTAAATTGTGTCAAAGCAGCTTCACATAGAAGATTATTGTAAATTGAAACAGCGTAGTTCAGTTTTCGCGTCAAGGAAAAAACTTCACCAATTGGCGAAAGTGAAGAATTAAAAAAACCTCGAGAGAAACGAGGTTTAGTTGGGCATGACCATTTCTCTTATGGCCAAACATCTTGTGCAGACCTAGGAGGCTGGAGAATAGAGTGATCTGGGCTGTTAAAAAACATGTAGCATGTATACTTTTAGCATTTGTTAAAAAATGAAAGCATTTTACAATTTATCATTTATAAATTCATTTAAGTTTATAATAGGTTGTAATATTAGCGACACAGCGGCGCAGTAGGTAGTGCTGTCGCCTCACAGCAAGAAGATTGCCTTGGCTTGGTCAGTAGGCGTTTCTGTGTGGAGTTTACATGTTCTCCCGGCATGGGTTTCCTCCGGGTGCTCCGGTTTCCCCCACAGTCCAAAGACATGCGGTACAGGTGAATTGGGTAGACTAAATTGTCCGTAGTGTATGAGTGTGATTGAGTGTGTATGGATATTTCCCAGAGATGGGTTGCAGCTAGAAGGGCATCCGCTGCATAAAAACATAAGCTGGATAAGTAGCCGGTTCATTCCGCTGTGTCGACCCCAGATTAAAAAAAGGGACTGAGCTAAAAAGAAAATGAATAAATGAATAGGTTGTAATATACCTTAACATAATATATTTTAATATTTAGTTTTTACATATAATTTGGCCTTGAGATTAATTTTGTTAGTAAAATTAATTGCTTTAAAAGTTAATCAATGAATGCATGCATATAAAATATAAATAGTCCAAAAGGCCATTCTAAATCCTAAACCACAAAGATTCATGAAGGCTGGTCACTGCACAGAAAAGGAAGTTACAGAAGCATATAAAACTCTCAGCTCAGATTGACCCAGTTCATTTTTTCAGAAAGCTGTCATCATGTACCTGTTGGTAGTGGTCATCTCTCTTCTGCTGAGCTCTGGTCCTGTTCAGAGCCGTCCTGTTGAGGTGAGAACAGAACAATGGTGTTGAAAAATGGAAATTTGTATTATTAGGATTTTATAAGCAATGGCTTAAATGTGTGTGTAAAATTCTTAAACAGGATTTAATTGAAAAAATGTCCAAGAAGACTGGTGGTAAGATGCAAAAATAAATAAATAAATAAATAAATAAATAAATATATAAATAATAATAATAAATAACTTGTACATTTGTAGGTTTTTATTAATAATTTATACATTTGTATCTCAGGTAACTTCACAAAGAAAGGTAATTTGCTAGTCTCATCTGTAATCGAGACCAGCAAACATGCAGGTAAGTGTTACTACATGAATTTGCTGGCACATCAGTTCAGGCAAATTCTTTTCAGATAATATGTACTATTATCAGAATCATCGAACTGAATTAAAATCACGTTTAAATAGTGCTTTTTAGTTTATTCCGTTTCTAAACAGATTTACTTTGATCTAAAAAAAAAAATACAAATTAATTACACATTGTTCAGCTCATCATTTTATTGTTGATTCAGTTCATTAACAATGAAAAATTAATACATTGGGAACCTAATCCACAAAAACTTTTTTATGTTGCACTGATATAGCCACAAATACAAAACATAAGTCAAATCTTGTACATTTTCTAATGCAAAACTAAATGTTTGATCAGTAATGTGCCAGGCCAAGAACTTTTCTCTGAATTTAGTTTTTTTGAACCCTCAGATTTTCATAGTTGTAATAATAAACCAAACATAAATGGAAATATTATTTATAAATCTCACTTAAAAATATCAGGCAGTTATTTTTATATCATTTTGTTATAAATTCACTATTATAGAAATATAAATAATTTCAATTTAGGTATAAGCAGCTTTACAGGACAGTGCTATTGCGTTTGGATGAAGTAATCCAGCGTTGCTACAGTTGATTTCAATAAATGAATACAACTTAATAATTTTGCTCTAGTCAATGCAGTAAAAGTGATGAATCCAGTAATATTAGCAAGGATAAACCTTTATTTTTATTGTTGACCACTACCATACAGGAGAGAACACAGATGGGCCAGTAATCCTGTTTGGAGACATCGCCTTTCCCAGAGGTTTGCAGAATGCAGATCAATGTACAGCTCGTGGCTGCAAATGGGACAGAAGCAGAGATGGATTAGTCTATGTGCCTTACCAGATATCTAGAGCGTACTGTAAGTGACGATGACACTTATCTTCACATTTTCTCTTTAGCACCTCGTATTCTGCTCAATAGTCGTATATTGTTTCCACACAGCTCCACGGGAAGTAGCAGTGATTGAACAAGGCTTGCAATCCTTTTCGGCGGTTTCCTGCATTCGTTTTGTGCCTCATACTGGAGAGAGGAACTATCTCAACATAAAGTCTGAATCTGGGTAAATATTTGCATTTTCTGTCATTTTCCTGTGTATAACAATATTGTTTTCGTGACGCACAAACATACACGCTGATTTCTGATGTGTGTTTGTGCGTGATCCGCAGCTGCTATTCATATTTAGGGCGGATAGGTGGAGGTCAGGTCGTGTCTCTCCAGCGGCAAGGCTGTGTGTATTTCAGCACCGTCCAGCACGAGCTCCTTCATGCCCTCGGCTTCCACCATGAGCAGAACCGCAGCGACCGAGACAATCACATCCGGATCCTCTATCAGAACATCATACCTGGTATTTCTGTTTAGAAGTCTACTGAAATAAATATGAGGGAAATGGGTAACTTCTTGTGTTAAACAATGTGCTTCTCTGCTGGCAAACTTCTCAAAGTGTTTTATTTTTTTTAAGTAAGTACACACAGATTTCTGAACATATTTTGCTACAAAGGAGTTTTATAAAGTGTTTTACCATACAAAAGAAAACAGCCTATATATATAAGTAATATTAAAAAACTAAATAAAAAAGTTAAAATATTAAATATTAAAGTTAAAATAAAAATATTAAGTAATTATTACAAGAGAAATGCCTACAAATACATTCAAGTATTTTTATGTAGCAAAAATAACACTTCCAATAAGATGCATTTTAGCCACTATTCTATCGATACCAATACCTATCTAAAAGATAGTAAAGACACCCATTATTATACCAGCACTTATTTAATATATACTATTTATTATTGTGACCAGTAACTATAACAGTTTTTTTCCCATTGTCCTATAGAAGGTAATATGATTTAATTATCAACTATACCATTTACACTGTGTTCTGATTATAACTATATACTGTACACTCTCAGAAATAAAGACACAAATGCTGACACTGGTTTTAAAAGGTTTACAAGTGCGTAATTAGTAAGAACAATCACTTAATAGCCTACTAGTATGTAATAAATTAAATCTAGTATCTATTTATTTGGTATGAGTATCTAATAAATAAGTACTAGCATTTCATGATTAAGCACTAATATCGATTAACATTAACATCAACAACTTATAAATGAGCTAGTATCTAATATATAATGAAATTACAGCATATAAAACATCACATGTCACAATCACAAAACAGAGTAGTTAAAACTAAATTTCAATGACAACAAGTAAGTTCCTTTTGAAAAAAAAGCAGTTCCTTTTGAAATGAGTATGGTGTCTATTTAACAGGTACTAGTTACAATCAAATTAGCCAAGGTTTTTAATAGTAAGTACACTTTTTAATGAATATTTGTTTGTTTAAACACTAATACAAACCATAAACACTAGTAGATTGTACCCAGGCACGTAAACATGGCATATTAGATTGGCACATTTATTGCATGTACTCTTAACTTTTTTTTATTGCATGTACTGAAACTTTCATTGTGTAAACAGCATTTTTATATTTAAAATCTATACTCAATACTTTCTTGTGTACTATAACAGCGCAACAGTACAATTTCAACAAACAAAACACCAACAATCTGGGCACCCCCTATGACTATAACTCTGTGATGCAGTATTCAAGGTAAGTATTCTTGTAGTTATAATTATTAATTACTATTATTTGCAAAAAATCTAATAAGCCTTGTCTATCGTTGTTTCTTGATGTGTTTGGCTTTAGGTATGCTTTCTCCATGAACAATCAGCCAACCATGGTTCCCGTTCCTAATGCAAATGTTGTGTTGGGAGAAGCTCAAAGTATGAGCCCCAATGACATCCTGCGCATCAACAGACTATACTGCAGTACGTTCAACATTTCCTACTAACATTTAAAACAATAAAGGCATTTGTGTTTCCTTGCTGAAAACACCACCTTAAATTTGAATGCAGTTCCTGGGTGTTTTATTTAGCCAGGCTGTTTACAAGGATTATTTAAAAGTTGTACCTAAATGTTCTTTCTGGTGAAGCTGCAAGGTAGTCTTGCAGGCTAATCCTAGTGAAGCAGACTGGCGCTTTCTAAAGGGATAGTACACCCAAAAAATCAAAATGTACTAACCTTTTACACACCCTCAAATTTTCTCTTTTTTTTCTGTTGAATAAAAAAGAAGATATTTTGAAGAATGAAACTGGTAGTCAACTGGTAGCCGTCCATAAAAGGAAAAATAAAAAAATACTATAGAAGTCAATAGCTTTGTTTACATCCAAATCAGCAAATTAGACTTAAAGTGCAAAACTGTAACATTGCATACAACATTTGCAAAAAAGAAAACATGATCACTTCCTGATAAACTGGTGCCAAATATCAAAAAAAAAAAAAAAGAATTTACTGCAATATAGCAGAAGCCACACAATTTTTTCTTAGAATAAATTGCTTCCAATGTAGTTGGTCGACTTGTATGTCTAATAATGCTGCCCATTGCTCTCATTTTTGGTATCATGTGACTTTTTTGACCCACATGCTGGAATTTGTTTCCATCATAGTTTATGTGCATTTTGTCCTTTTGCATAATAAGTTTATATTTATAGAAGTGCACATACACATTTAAACACATTTTCAAAACAGAAAAAATAGAAATAGAAAAACACAACGTCAAAAAACAATGAACAATGAACGAAAATGTTCACTTTAATATGAACGATCCCTTTAGGACTGCACCACTAGATGCCAACCAACAACAATAATCAGACACTTTTTTCAGGATTTGTTGGGCCACTGTGTTACTGTCGTCTTCTGCTGCTGTTGGTCACTCTTGTGTTTTAAAAAAAACTGAACATGTTTTGGTGTTTGTTGGGTCTTAGGGTGTCTAAAACATGTCTTACTGTATTCTGGTGATTTTCTGCATTAGTGGCCAATGCAGCATGATCTTGCCTTTACAGTTGGATTTAAAATGATTATAACTCTTATTAATACAACACCATGTCTGTCCTTTCTCATATTCATTGTTTCTTTAATTTTTTTCTCAGATTGAGCAAACTGCTGCCAGGCCGTAAGGAGGACATTTTGTGATGTCAGTTCACAGTTCATCTGTTTTTTTTTTCTAGCATTCTTTTTTTTAGCATCTTTTTTAGCACATCTTTGTATCTCATGGTTTTACTTAAGTCAAGTGCTACATCCTAAAATCAGACACCTCTCAGTTTCCAACAAATCAGAAAAATTAGCATATAGTCTGAACTCTAAAATTATTTGCTACTAAAATGCAACACTCCAGATTGACTGCTTCTGTGACAGGATTGTTGTAAGCTCTTTCCTTTGATTTTTGTTCATCTTTTTGCAGTTGTAACATGGGTGCATAAATAAAACTGTGCTCTTATGTCTTATTATTATCAGTAGGTCATGGATTAAAAGCACTGTTATGTTCACTGGTATTAAGAATTGTTACTGCACAGTGTTGACTGATACTACAAAACAAATAACTGTAATGTTCTCAGTAAACATTGCAATACCACTATTTTTTATGACATAAAACGAAAGCTTGCATCAATTAAATGACTCTGCAATTTCTTGAGAAATGCACGCACTTTCACTATATATGCTGTACAATTTCAGTGAAACACATTATTACATGAATAACCAAATTACTGAATGAGTAATAATTTATAATTGAGCTGTAAAGATCACCAAAAATCACATATAGTGTAGTTTTCTTTTGTCTTTGAATGGTACATTTTCATATGTGTGAATTGCAACATGGATAAAAGTACACCTATCTCTTCCTAGTTGTCATATAAAAGAACTCAAGAACAGTCTATTGATGCTGACTGGGTGAAATGCGTATAACAAAAAAAAAGAGAAAAAAGTTATTTGGGGTAGACAAATATGGGCTCACAGTAAATGACAAGAAATGCTGATACATTGAACACAATGTGAACTGACTAAAACCACAAATACAGTTTCATACAAAAAAGTGACAAAAATATCTTGTATCCTCCTAGACAATACACGCTTGAGGAGTTATTATTATTATTATTATTATTTGCAAAGCCAAAGCTTTAGATCAGGGGTGTCCAAACTCGGTCCTGGAGGGCCGGTGTCCTGAAGAGTTTAGCTCCAACCCTAATCAAACACACCTGAACCAGCTAATCAAGCTCTTACTCGATATACTAGAAATATCCTGGCAGGTGTTGAGGCAAATTGGATATAAACTCAGCAAGACACTGGACCTTTGGACACTCCTACTTTAGGGAGAGAATTTATTAATATTTAGTGAAATAAAGGTAAATAAATTGAATATTGAATAAATTAAATAAAGTGAATGAATACATTATTTTAGTTAATACACTTGTTGGAATATCTTTCTCTATTCCATGCGTGTTCAATAAGAAAAGGTCAGGAGAGGTTTTTCTTCAATGTCAAAAATCGTAAAAATTTATTGGATACAAATGAATAATTTGATGACAGAGCTCTGGGTTACGTTACCCCAATGCAATACAAGAATTACATTCAAGAGGTTCGCAACTAACATACATTTCCTGACTTCAGCATATAAACACAACTGATCTTAACAGGTGGAGTTTTGGTGTAACGTCACTTGTCAGTCATTGTTCAGTCCTCCATTGGCCGCACCTTCGACATACTTCCTCTTTTTCTACAAATTCTCTGCCCAACAACAAAGTATACATCTTTCTATGTTCTGTGTTCAGTTTTAACACCTCTCTTCAGACAGGAAGTTTCTGCAGAGCTGAATTTAACTTTGGACCCGCATCTATCTACTTCTGCAAAAATGCTAATTAGTATGCACAGCACTCACCCACAACATTAAAAGTTCAGTTAATATATGATATATATCAAACTTAACACATGGAAGGATGAGAGGATACTTAATTAATGAAGTAAATACTCTACTGATTCTGGCTCATCTGCATGTGAAGGCACCATACTGTGACAGAGAAATTCACACCTGTTCTATGCTGAATATTGCACAAGACTGACTGTAGGGAAAAAATCACTTGTGTGTATACCTTGAACCTTTTAAAGATAATACTTCTATTCACACCAGAAGGAACAGAACTTTTGAACATTCTCCACATGTGATATGAGCATTCACTTCAAGAGCTTTTACGATCACAATAATTAAATTAGCATCCACAATGGAGAGTGAAAGGTTATGTTGTCTGTCACTTTAAAATTTCAAGCTATTTTAAGTGAAGTTTATTCATAAACTAATTTCGAGAGGAGCACGTGATTATGATTGAACACGGCTGGTCCTGCATTAGCATGCTTGATCCACCAATCAGGCCATTCCTAACCACTATAAAGAGCCAGGGTTTTCTCACTACAGTCATCTTCGATTTGAAGAATACACTGCTCTGCATCTACTGCTACTGCTACTGCTACTGCTACTGCTACTGCTACTGCTACTGCTACTGCTACTGCTACTGCTACTGCTACTGCTACTGCTACTGCTACTGCTACATCAACTTCTCCAGCTACATCAACTTCTCCAACAACAACAACTTCTCCAGCTACATCAACTTCTCCAACAACAACAACAACAACAACTTCTCCAGCTACATCAACAACAACTTCTCCAGCTACATCAACTTCTCCAACAACAACAACAACAACTTCTCCAACAACAACAACAACAACTTCTCCAGCTACATCAACAACAACTTCTCCAACAACAACTTCTCCAACAACAACAACTTCTCCAGCTACAACTTCTCAACCTTCTACTTCAATTGCCTCACACAATGCAATCTCTGTGTCTTCAACCCAATTCTCCAACAAGATCACAGTAAAAACTCGCTTTGCCTAAACTCTCGATGCCTGCGATCCAAGCTGAACTCTCTTCTAGGGGTGCACCAGCGGTAACATACATGACACTTTTTAAGGGGAAGCCTCACAAACTACAACTAAGATTAAACATCCATCTTTAAAGGATGATTCTAGCGTGAATAGAATGACTCACCTCTCAATCAAGGTTCTAGACAATCCAATCCTTAAAACATCAGTCCACAACTTATGCATACATTGATAAACATCCATGTTAATCCTCCAAACTAGTCGCTGTGGTGCATTCAATAGAGTAGCGTCTCCAATCATAACACTAGTTCTCTGGCAAACAAAATGGCCGCCAGCCTTTTTCTGCAACTTTGATGGACACTCCTTCGAGCCAATAGCTGAAAGGAGAAGCGTCACCATCCAATGAACTCTCAAAAATTTGAGATGGTCCCACCCTCTCTCATGACAAGCTCATGAATGATTATCATTACATTTACACAATTACTACTAAATGGTGACATTAGTTTAAGTTCAGGGTTTGATGTTGGCAGATGATAAATAAATAAATACATAAATATATAAATAAATAATAAAGAAAATAAATAATTATAAAATGTATAAATTAAAAAAAAAAAAAAAAAAAAAAAAAAAAAGCCACATCTGATAGCAGTTTAACTTCTAAAAAGTTTACTCTGCTATTGAAAAACATTCAACCCATTAGGCATAGAAGTCCAATCGTAATATGCCCCAGTGACTCATGTCCATACACTTATAAGCCATAAGCTTATAATGGCAAGTTGGTTAGATGTGAAAACAGCAAAGAAACAAACTTCCCGCTTTGACTTCCACGAATGAGAGGAGGACATTTCTGACATGTCTGATGTTTCATCAATTGACTCTGCATTAGATACAAACCAAGGGGTTTAAACTCCACTATAATTCCACCTACCCTGTCTTCAAGAGGTACATCAGGACCACTAGCCGAGCAGATTTCCCAATTAATATGCTATCCTTAGGAGGGACAAATGCCTACCTCTACTATCTTTGCTCGTTGCGACAATGAGGCTTCGTACCATGCATTAACAAAGGCACTTCCACACTTAGTTGCCCATGCTCTTATTAAGACGCCCCGCATGGTTATCAGCTAAAATAATTCATTGTGTTTGCCATACATGTACCATGTTGTAATGTCATTTCTGATTCTCTCTTGTTTTTCTCATTTCAGAGATCATGTCAGCTGGTTGCAGAAGCTGACCCTCATCCAACCTATTACACTCCACATCCATTTCTAAATACATTTACACTCTTTGCAAATGACACTTTTCCACTCACATAGCCCACACCCTCGATGCCATATTCACACTAGCCTTTTTAATTTAAGTCTTCTGAACTAAGTATGACATTTCAATCCAACGATACACCTAACCATATCTGATCTATCTTCGCAGGATGAAGGGATGCAGGATGATATCCGTTCCCCCACACACCTGTTCTAAACAGGCCCGGATTGACTAATCGGGAGGACCGGGAGAATTCCCGGTGGGCCGGTCCGTTTTTTTTGGCCGCGAGGGCCGGTGTCCCTAGCTCCAGAATCTGTTGCTCTCAGCAGTGACACTTTTTTAATTCATTTACTTGACCACAGCCTTTTTATTCATTATAAAAAAAAAATGATAGTGCCATTAGAAACTGATTTGGAAATATTTATTTACTTATTTTAATATAGTCAGTCGTGAACTGAGGTGGGCTGGTCTGAGGCTTGAAACTCCAGAGCTGAAAAGGTGTCCCACTCCGGCCCTGGTTCTAAACCTCTTAGCATTTTTACACCACAGAAGAGCAATAACACCTCGGGGAAGCCCAGCCGATCATCTCCAGCCAACTTCCACCATCATGCATTATTGGGTATGAAGTATGACTCTGTCATTTCCTTCCTATTTCCCTTCCTATTTAACATAGGAGCTCCTTCACTACCCTTCCCTGTTTTTCTAGCTTTAACTTTTTCTCTCCAAATTTAAACTATCCTATACTTCTATTCACTTTCATTCACCACAGCTCCGACCAATTCAGGGGTTGTCTTGAGTTTCAGTTGCTGCAACAGGAACGTTCTAAATGAGCTTGCATACACTTACAAATTTTCTAAATACCACTATCGTTGCACTCCCCGCACTAATACAGCAGTAAATGCTTCTGCGGGAGCACAAGTTGTCTCCATACTGGCCCACTACACCACTGCAGCCGCAGAAATGCTCCGCAGAGTTGCACACCCAAAGCACCACTGCTACCGCAGTGAACCTCTAGCATATGCCTTATTCACCTTCATCTTTACATATCACTAAAGGCAGTATTTAACGTCCCTGCGGGAGCACTCAAAACTTACTAATATCGACTGTTTAGGTGCTCCACTTAACTATACACCCCATTAACATCACTGCAACTGCAGTGACGCTCTAGCTGAGCCCTTTTATCACTTTCATCTCTAAATATCACTGCTAATAGTACTTAGTATTTCCGTGTGAGGCGCTAATACTGAGTACCTCTGCACCTCTGCTACTGCAGAGACGCTTTGCCGAGCCTTATTCTCCCTCTGCACCACTGCTGCAACAGTTAAGCTTTGCCTGAGCTGCAACTGCAGAGACGGCTGTTTAGCCTTAATTCTCTGCACCACTGATTTTATTGCACTTCTGTAACTGCAGAGAAGCTCTGCTGAGATTATTTTTTCCCCTGCACCAATGCTGCAGCAGTGACGCCCTGCCTGAACAGTCTTCCAACAACAGATATAAACTCTGTCATTGGTCCTCTAACACCTCTAAATCCTCAATTTGCCTCAGCCAATATTTCCTCAGAGAAGCCCAGCTGATTCTCGGTTGCAGACTTCAACCTAGTTTCCAAGCAGCACGACTCTGTCTGTTCTTCCTACTTTCTGTCTTAGTTGCATAGGACTCATTTTTACTAAACTTTCCTTTTTATTTTATTAAACTTCCCTTCTCTTCCTCTTCATAATTTTTCAATTTCACTTGCACTCATTCTCCGCAGCTCGGACTCCCACAGGGGTAGCCCCAAGCTCCCACTGCCACAGCAGTGAAGTTCTTTAAGAGCTCACATGTACACTTTTCAAAAAAAAAAAAAAAAAAAAAAAAAAAAATTTTTTTACCATTATCACACTCCGCCGCAATAATACAGCCGTAAAGGCGTAGCGGGAACTCGTATTGCTTCCATACTGACTACAATTACACCTCTACAGCAGCTCCGCTTAATTACATTGCATTGTAGCATCAATTTATTTTCCATCACCACACTCCCCGCAACAATATAGCCATAAAGGCTTAGCGGGAACTCGTATTGCTTACATACTGACCACCATCACACCTTTACAGCAGCTCCACTCAATTACATTGCATTGTAGTATCAATTTATTTTCCATCACCACACTCCCCGCTATAATACAGCTGTAAAGGCTTAGCGGGAACATGTATTGCTTTCACACATATAATGCACCAGACTCTGAATACCTATGCACCCCTGCAGCCACAGAGTTGCTCTACTGTGCCTGATTCCTATCTGCTACACCGCTGTTAATCAGCTCTCCAAAGCGCACTTCCCTTTAGAAACTGACTTTCACCGCACCTCTGCAGCCGCAGAGACGCTCAGCCGAGCATCACTCCCCTCTACATCACTGCCGCAGTAGTGACGCTTAGCAAGCGCATATACACTTCCACTTAGCAATCCACTACTGATACACTCTCCAGCACTGCCAAAGCAGTTAAACGTCTCTGCGGAGGCGTATTTACCTTCCAGATACTGACTTCCATTGCACCTCTGCAGCAGCAGAGACGCTCAGCCGAGCATCATTTACATCCCCTGCACCACTGCTGCAGCAGTGACGCTCTGCTGGAGCTCATGCACACTTCCATTACACTTATACCACTTCTGTCACTCCCAGCACTGCTAAAGCAGTTAAAACGCTGCTGCAGAAGCGTATTCTTCCCCTTAGGACTGACTACCACCGCACCTCTGCAGTCGCAGAGACGCTCAGCCGAGCATCACTCCCCTCCACATCACTGCCGCAGCAGTGACGCTCAGCGAGCGCATATACACTTTCATTTAGCAACCCAATACTGATACACTCTCCAGCACTGCTAAAGCAGTTAAACGTCCCTGCGGAGGCGTATTTCCCTTACAAATACTGACTTCCATTGCACCTCTGCAGCAGCAGAGACGCTCAGCCGAGCATCATTTACATCCCCTGCACCACTGCTGCAGCAGTGACGCTCTGCTGGAGCTCATGCACACTTCCATTACACTTATACCACTTCTGTCACTCCCAGCACTGCTAAAGCAGTTAAAACGCTGCTGCAGGAGCGTATTCTTCCCCTTAGTACTGACTACCATCGCACCTCTGCAGTCGCAGAGACGCTCAGCCGAGCTGCATCCCCCCTGCACCACTGCTGCAGCAGTGTCGCTCCACCGGAGCTCACGCACACTACTAATTATCCATGCCATTACTGACACACTCCCCATTGGACTGCCAAAGCGGTTAATCAGTTAACCGCTTCTCATCTGCAGCTACAGCTCCGCAGAACCTTACAGCTTCATTTTCCATCACTACTATACTAAACCTTTACGAAACTCACCACATATGTTTTAAACCTTTACACTTACCCCACTCACTCTCCCGCTGGTCCTTACAATTAACAGGACCCGGGGGCACACATAGTCATACATAAGCACCTTCAGTTAATTTTTACACCCACACCAGTCTCTGTTGCTCCTCCAAGCTATTTCTGTATTACTTTTCAGCAGCCGGATATGGCATTAATCTCCTGTGCCTTTTGGGGGGTTCTTCAAATACGCGGCTGCTGTCCCGAGCGGAGCATTTTGGGGAGTTGTCGAGATCTACCTGAGCTCGAGGCTCCCCTCTCTTCCTCCAAACGGGAGGGAGCCCAGGGCTCAAGAACCTTCGAGCTCAGGGCTCTCTCCCGGGACAGCATGCCAAACTTGCTTATAATCAATCATCAGCTAAGTGTGAACTCTTGAAGTGAAGTTTATTCATAAACTAATTTCGAGAGGAGCACGTGATTATGATTGAACACGGCTGGTCCTGCATTAGCATGCTTGATCCACCAATCAGGCCATTCCTAACCACTATAAAGAGCCAGGGTTTTCTCACTACAGTCATCTTCGATTTGAAGAATCCCCCCTTCCACCCCTACCTTTTCACCTTTCCCTCCATAGGGCAGCACGGTGGCTCAGTGACTAGCACTGTCGCCTCACAGCAAGAACGTCACCGGTTCTAGTTCCTTAACAGGCCGGTGGTCGTTTCTGTGTGTAGTTTGCATGTTCTTCCCGTGCTTGCGTGGGTTTTCCCCGGGTTCTCCGGTTTCCTCCCACATTTCAAAAACATGTACAACAAGTTAATCGTTAAATCTAAATTTCAATACAGGTAATCTAATAATGCAGCATATCTTTTAATAGCCTTCAATCTTAATCTTTAGCTATTATAAAAAGGGGAGTTGTCGAGATCTACCTGAGCTCGAGGCTCCCCTCTCTTCCTCCAAACGGGAGGGAGCCCAGGGCTCAAGAACCTTCGAGCTCAGGGCTCTCTCCCGGGACAGCATGCCAAACTTGCTTATAATCAATCATCAGCTAAGTGTGAACTCTTGAAATGTAGACTAATAGACTGACTCTGATTGGTTGCCAATGAAAGTGTTATTCATCAGATGGAGAAAAAGAAAATTAAAATAACATTGTTTTACTGTGGGTGACGCGGTAGCGCAGTGGGTAGTGCTTTCGCCTCAGCTAGAAGTCGCTGGTTTGAGTTTCGGCTGGGTCAGTTGGCATTTCTGTGAGGAGTTTGCATGCTCTCACAGCGTGTGTGTGGGTTTCCTCCGGGTGCTCTGGTTTCTCCTACAAGTCCAAAGACATGCGGTACAGGTGAATTGGGTAAGCTAAAATTGTCTGTTGTGTATGTGTGTGAATGAGTGTAAATGGATGTTTCCCAGTGATGGTTTGTGGCTTGAAGGACATCCACTGTGTAAAACATGTGCTGGATAAGTTGGCGGTTCATTCCGCTGTGGTGACCCCGGATTAATAAAGGGACTAAGCCGATAAGAAAAAGAATGAATGCTTTACTATGTTGTTATTATTTGTAGTGTGAACTCCAATATTTCTATATGAAAACCAGTATTGTAAAAACTTTATAGTTATTGATATTATTGTAGTTTTTGTTTGCAAAAAATAATGCAGAGTCAGTCTGACTTTAATAGTCTGAATTCTTCTGATAAATCCAGCTTCTGTATCAGGAGCTGCATACTTAAAATAGACTGCATTAGTATTCAGTGTCCGACGGGTACATAAAAGTGTGTGTTGATTAACAGAATATGAAATAAGAATAATAATACTCTTCTTATTCTATAATTCTTACAGTTTTTTATTAAAGGGGCCAGGGTACATTCCTAAAAAAATGTTTCTTGAGGTTTACACTTTCCCTTTGTCCAAAAACTCACATACAATACAGTTTTAAAGCTTTCGTAAGAGTTGTTTTTGACATGTGCTCCTGTGAGGGGAACTGCACACCTGTTCTTTTTCAAACAAGGTTAAACAAACTCTTTTGCCCATATTTGTAAAGATCATTTTGATACTAACTCCCACCGGAGTATAAAATAAGTTGCCCCATGAACTTTAAGGTACTGAGGTGAGAATAGTGGTAAGTTTTTCATTGTTTATATTGTTTACAACGAAAGAAAGGTATTAAATGGAAACTTGAATAGGTTGGGTGCCATTTAATAAGGTTATGGTGTACAAGTATACTTTTTATTTTACAATTATATATTATTATTATTATTATTATATTTTTTATGAATTATAATGAATTCAGTTCAATACCCAGATTTCTCATGACAAACTTATCTGTGATCTGTAAATTCTGTTCCCTGATCCCCTCCACAGGTCTCTGGACACCATGTTTGTGACAAAAGTGACTTTTGGCCTTTTGGCCCTGATGTTGGTCTACTCAGCTGAAGGAAAGGTAAAACAATCATTTGTACACACCTATAAAAATTTGTAAACGATGCATGGTTTTGTATACTATAATATAAAATAATATGCAAAAAATGTTTTGACATTACCTAATATTTATTATCCATTTTGTGTTGGGTGTTCTGGCATAACTCACATCCAGCCTGGTAAGTGAAATGCCTAATTTAGCTACTTACCTAATTTAGCAAAGAGAATGTAAAAGCGTTTTAGAAGAAACAAATGAAACAACAAATATTGAGATTTTCTTTTTAACTGAAGCAATGGTTCATTGGTGAATGTGTTGACTTGTTTTTTATAATAGCTCAGCTGTCTGTGTCTGAACTGCTGCATAGAGCCAACAGAGGCATCAGTGCGTATACAACACTTACTCAGCAATACACATCAGTATATCTCAACTGTTCATTACTGAAAGACCCAAAATGACCTGTTCATGTTTTAGTTCCTGAAGCTGATGAGCCCAAGCTCCTGGACGACATTGCTGTGAATGAGAAAAATGCTGATCCCTGCACCTCCTACGGCTGTCTCTGGCCCAAATACAGTGATGGCAAGATTTATGTGCCTTACGTCATCGCCAACCACTACTGTAAGTCATTAATTACACAGAAAAAAAGTAGGCCAAATACAGAACTCTTGCTGAATGCATGAAAATGCCTTTAGAATGCTAAATTAAAGGGACAGTTCACAAACAAAAAGACAATTCTGTCACATTCACCCCCACTTATAAACCTGAATTACTTTTTCTCCTGTCAAACACAAAAGAAAAGATTTGTAAACCGGTAACCATCGACTTACATCAACATTACTCAAAATATCTTCTCTTGTGTTTAACAGAAAAACAAAACTCATTCTCTCGGATTCCATTAATAATGAAAAAAAATTACCTTTTCATAGTAGCAACCTCTGACTTTTGCCCTTTCAGCCTCCCGTGAGCTGGAGATCATCCAGCGTGGACTGGACTCTTTCTCTTACAGTACTTGTATCCGCTTCTTCCCTCGCGGCAATGAGAGAGACTACATCAGCATTGAATCTCGCAGCGGGTACGTGACAGATCTTAAACCTAATGCAAAGAGACAACACAAAAGTCAAAATTAAGGTTTGCATGAGCATCGTGGGACTAACGACATGATCAGAATTTCATCAGAATTACATTCAGAATGCAGTTACATAAAGAGGTATCATCTTGCATCTTTATCTTACAGATGCTACTCATATGTTGGCCGTCAGGGTTATGCACAGACAGTGTCTCTGGCCCGCAGTGGCTGTCTTTACCACAGCACTGTTCAGCATGAGCTGCTCCACGCTCTGGGCTTCAACCATGAACAAACCCGTAACGACCGTGATAATCACATCCAGGTCATCTGGGAGAACATCCTTGATGGTAATGTTCATCTCAATATAATGTCAGTAAACTTTAAATATCATGTTCATTACATTCGTTGGATCAACAATAAATGTTTTGCTTACTCATCAGACATGAAGTACAACTTCAACAAAATCAACACCTTAAACCAGGGAACTCCTTATGACTACAGCTCTGTGATGCAGTACGAGAGGTGGGTGAGATGAGGTTTCTCTTTGTGTATGATGTACTAAGTTGAAACTAACTGAATTTGTGCCACTTGCTTTATTAGATATGCTTTCTCTAAGAATGGCCTCCCCACTATGATTCCCATTCCTAATAATAATGCTGCGCTGGGCACATCTACTGAGATGAGCCAGAACGACATCATCCGAATCAACAGGCTCTACCAGTGCTGTAAGTGACTCAAAACATTCTGCAGATTAATAATTCTAGAAATCATAATGTGCCTGCAAAAAATATCTATTATGTTTGTTGTATTTGAATAGATGTTATAAACATTTAATTGCCTGACCAAAAGCCATGTAAATGTAAGGCTTATTTTAAATGAAAAAATATAGTACTAGAAAATGAGTATTTCATCAATTTAACCTTAATGCTATTGTCATTCATAGGAGCAACAGAACTTGGCTTCAGCACCCATGCCTTACATCTGAAAGTACAAAAAGGTTACCGGTGGATTATGGATGGTGTTAAATTCTGTGCATACTTGAATCACCAATAAAGAGAAAATAAAATCCTTTGTCAGCTGATTTTACAAGATTTATATTGAATTAATCTTTTGAGTTACTGGCATCATGTCCATATACACAGAAAGGAGACAGTGTTGTTGAACATTGAACTTATTCTCAGCCCTTGTTGCCAGCTGTTAAATCCCCCACTGTCAAATACAAAACTCCACAATTCTGAGTCTAAAAACTGCTGATCCACAGTAAGTCTCTACATTTTTAACAAGAGCATTGTTAAGACTGAATGAGTGTGATTTATTTTTTTAATGCAACAGCGTAATAAATAAGGCAAGGCAATGAAAGTTTGTTTACATAGCATATATCATACACAATGGTAATTAAAGTGCTTAACATAAACAGGAATAAAGAGACAAGATAAGAAAATAAAAACAAAGAATACAAATTATTAAAAACAAATGAAAAACAAATAAAAATATGTTAAAAGAGGTCTTAAAAGAAAAGAAAGACATAATAGTGCGACCTGTGGGAGGTAGCACAGTGCTCATTCAGTAAAGGCACAGCTAAACAGATGTGTTTTCAGTCTTGATTTAAATGTGCCTAATGTTGGAGCACATCTGATCATTTATAGAAGCTGATTCTAGCAGCGGTGGGTGTCACCCAGGGTCACCCTGCTTTGACTGGACTCTTGGAATTTCTAGTTTATAGGATCTTAAAGATCTGAGTGATCTGTTAAGTTTGTATTCAGTCAGCATATCTGTAATGTATTGAGGTCCTAGGCCATTTAGTGATTTATAGACAAGTAATAATACTTTAAAAACTATTCTGAATGTAACAGGCAGCCAGTGTAAAGACCTGAGAACAGGTGTGATGTGATGTGATTTTCTGGTTCTGGTCAGAATTCTGGCAGCAGTGTTCTGGATAAGTTGCAGCTGTCTTTTTGGGAAGGCTGATGAGGATGCCATTACAGTAATCCGCCCTGCTGGTGATAAAAGCATGAACAAGTTTCTCACTGGAAACAAAACATCTAATAAACTTGCAATGTTTTTTAGGATGATGCTGATACTGCTTTGACATGACTACTGAAACTCAGATCTGACTCCAGAGTAACCCAGATTCTTGGCCTTATTTTTTTTTGTTTGACTTCTAGAGCCAAGGTACTCATTCACCATCTTCATATCTAATCATATAAGAAATAAATAGATTAATTTACTCTCACCCCTGCTTTTAATCACAAAAACATCGAAAGTTATTGTGAAAATATATTAATAATATTGCTGAATTTCTAGTTTTACATTATTATCTAATTATATTTTAATTGACTTAAATGTTTTTAACAGCCACAATCTACCATTACTGGTTTATTATTATGTTTTAAATAAGCTGCTTTCAAAATGTCTGTGTTTATGTACTATTCCGTTTCCTACTTGAGTAATATGTTTAGAATCCCAAAAATAGAGAGTGCACTTTAAATATCCAGACGACACACTTTTTGACCAAAAAAATGTACAATGCTTCACACTTGATGCACTCAATTATTACAGATTTAGTTACTGAATGTAGATGGATGTGGTGGATGTTTCAGACTCCAGCACTGAATGAAAAAGTAACCTTATAAACTTCACATAGACTCAGACAGTTGAGTGCTAAGTAAACAAGCTCATGGTGTACTGCATTAATTGGGACAAGCTATTTAGTTGTTAATCGCTCTGATCATTAAGGATGTACATTCCCTTGTTGCTCTGTGACCATGTTTTTGACCTTTGTGGTTTGAGAAAAGCAAAACATAAAGCAAGATTAACATGATTCCATTACATATTAAATTTGGTATTAAGATTCATAAACCTGAGTCCAAAATGCTGAAGATTTGAATGGTGTTGATCTCAACAGGCTCTGAAATGGTAGTCGTGACTCAAATCTCAACCTCTTCACCTCTTTGTTGCGAATACAGATGCACTACAGTATGTATGTTCTTATGCAGTTGTCATTACAAAGCGTAGGCCAGACTCGGTAGCCGGAGAGGGGCCAGAACCTTTAGTTTTCTGTTGCAGTTTAGAGTAATAATCTAATCGACTCATTTACCCTTTGGCCTCAAAAACTCAGATTTACTAGAGATACTGCAGTTTAGATCCTTCAAAATCCAGCTTTTTTCTTCCATTTAGGAGCATTTAGTGGTAGCTTAGATTCTTTAAAATTCAGTGTTTTTCAATCTATTTTAGATCTATTTTTTAGATTTTCAATTAACACAGAAATATTTGCTTAAACAAAAGCAGATTAGATGTATAATCTATCAAAAAAAGGAAGAAAACATTCCCATATTTATATATCAGACCGGTGACAAAATGAAAACAGTAAGACATTGCCTCACTGTAAAAAAAAGTCCTGTTGTCTTATATTTTTAGGCTGAATCAACTTAATCTTATGAGTCCATTGAATTTATAAATGTTAAACTGATGTAAAACAGCATGCGTATCTTATAAAATTAGTTCAATCTTAGAACATGATTGACTTAGTTTGATCAGTTTCAATGAACTAAAACATGCTGCTAAGTTTATTTGATCATATTTTTACAATGTGTATTACCTAAAAAAGAAAGAAGTAAAACATAGAAAAGCAAATTTAATATAGTGGTGGCACAGTGGCTCAGTGGTTAGCACAGTCACCTCACAGCAAGAAGGTTGCTGGTTCGAGTCCTGGCTAGGCTAGTTGGCATTTCTGTGTGGAGTTTGCATGTTCTCCCTGCGTTCTTGTGGGTTCTATACAGTGCGTTCTATACAGTAGGTGAATTGAATAAACTAAATTGGCCGTAGTGTATAAGTGTGTGTGTGTGCGGCTGGAAGGGTTACCGCTGCATAAAACATATGACAGAATAGTTGGTGGTTCATTCCACTGTGGTGACCTCTGATAAATAAGGGACTAAGCCAAAGGAAAATGAATGAATGAAACTTAATTTAATAACCCAGTAAAGCAGTATGTCATACAGTTTTATTATTGATAGATTTGTTCTCTTTATTCTTAATGCTTAATTGCCTTAAATTAGCCATGTTATGTATTCTGTATAATACAAAATACAAATATCCTAAACCTTTCATCCAATTTTGTTAAACTATTTGTTATTATTTGTTTATATTATTTTTGGAGTGCTGTAATAAATATATGATCTACTGAGAAAGGAAACAGGCAGACAGTTCATCAGGTTTCAGTCTTACATATGAACCTATGGAGCAACCAATGAGGGAATTTCACACCTGTTCTCTTTCAAACCATGTGTCAGCATGTTTACTGTGTTACTATCTGAAAAAGTTGCATCGATACAGTCTAGGTACTGTATAAAAGCCTCTGGTCAACGTTTTGCATTGGCTTTAGAAATCTACGACAGAACTGGTATGTTTCCCTCTCTATTTTATCAAACTGTCACATTGTCTGACTGTTAAATGAGTAAAGTAAAACATTTATCACAATTAGGTATAGTAAATAATTAGATAATTGTAGAGCAAAAATCTGTTTCATTTGATCAGATTTTAATAATGTCTTCTTATTATTTGTAATTGATAAGATGTTATGTAGATTTCACACTAAAAATGCTGCACTGATTTAATACCATTGGGTCAAAGATGGGCAAAACGACCAATCATGTTATATAATGTTATTTTATACGTGGTTTAAATAAGTGCTCAGTACATTCCTAAATCTATTTGTTTTTTTTTCCTGCATTTTATTATATGAGCTCTGCAATGAACTAACAACTCATGATGACCATGTAGAAAGCAAGAATCAAAAATGTTATGATATGTTGATGAATTAGAACAAGAGTTTAAGCTGACCATTATTTGAGGCATTCTGCCTAAACAGCTGTGCCCTGGTTCTTTCCGCAGGTCTTTGGACACCATGGTTGCAATGAAGGTGACTTTCGGCCTGTTGGCCCTGATGCTGGTCTCCTCTGTTAGAGCTGAGGAGATGGTAAGACACATACACACACAACACCAGTACGCTGAATGATATATACAAATATATTGCTTTAAATTACTGCTGAAAGAAGAATGAAATATGATGACCGTTTTCCCAGTATTGGGTTGTGGCTGGAAGGGCATCCACTGTGTAAAACATATGCCGGTGTAGTTGGCGGTTCATTCCGCTGTGGCGACCCCTGATAAATAAGGGACTAAGCTAAAGGAAAATGAATGAATGAATGAATGAATGAATGAATGAATGAATGAGTCTGACCTTGTCACTTTCTTTTCCATGTCCATTTTGTGTCTGGTGTTTTGGCATAATTCTGATGCAGCCTGGTAAGTAACGCTTCAGCAGCTCTTATTGCGCATATGACAGTTTTGGGATGAAACAGTTCAGTTCTGACAGCTGCTGCATGTTGGATTGATTGAAGTAATGGATCATTTGAACATGTTAATGTGTTTTTATAATAGCTGCTGTGGATGAGTCTGCTGAGCTGTCTGTGTCTGAACTGCTGCATAGAGCCAACAGAGGCATCAGTGCGTACTCAACACTAACTCACAACATCAGTATATCCCAACTGTTCATCACTGAAAGACCCAAAATGACCTGTTCATGTTTTAGTTCCTGAAGCTGATGAGCCCAAGCTTCTGGATGACATTGCTGTGAATGAGAGAAACGCTGATCCCTGCACCTCTTACAGCTGTCTCTGGCCCAAATACAGTGACGGCAAGATTTATGTGCCTTACGTCATCGCCAACCACTACTGTAAGTCATTAATATTCTGATTTATGTCTTCATTTAGAGTGCAAACACAATAAAGGTAGACTGTTGGCGATTTCAGAAAAGAACTGAATGCAACACTCGAGACTTATAATGAGTGCAAAAGCTTGTCAGTGTGAAACAAGGCAGATATTTCCATAGCAACCTGTCTGAACTTTGCCCTTTCAGCCTCCCGTGAGCTGGAGATCATCCAGCGCGGTCTGGACTCTTTTGCTTCTGTCTCTTGTATCCGCTTCTTCCGCCGCAGCAATGAAAGAGACTACATCAGCATTGAGTCTCGCAGCGGGTACGTGACTGAGCCAAAA